AAAAAAAAAAAAAAAAAAAAAATCAGGAACCTGGCTTAAATAAAAGAAAGATATCAGGGAGGGCTAAGAGTCTGTTTTTCTCACCCCTGCCCCACTTACCCCCATCCAGCTTCCAAGGCTGGGCAGCTTCTGCCCTGGATCTCATCAGGAGAAACTCCCGGTCCTTAATCCCGAGTTCCAGAAGCCACAGCGCTTCAGCTTCCTTGTGTTGTATGAGACAGATGAGGCAAGATGAAACAAAGAGTTATTCTTCCTAGGACTCAGAAGTGAAAAGTTGTCCAAGGCTCAAGTATGCCTAAGGTATTTTCCCTCCCTTACCCCAACCAAGTGTGCATGCACACGCGGACGCGCACACTCGCGCTCTTAACAGTGTGCCCTGAGAGACTGGCTTCTGCCACCCTCTAGCGGCCAGAGCTGAAAGGACTCTCCCACCCAATCGATCGGAATCTTCAAGGCTTTACCACGGAATGTTATAAGGGATAAATCAATAGCTCATTTTATAAATGAGAAAACTGTGGGGGCCTAGAGAGAAATAGTCCCCCTGATATTCAGGGGCATAGCTGGGACTAGAATCCAAGTCTCATGACTCCCAGGCCAGTGCTCAGTCTATTTTCACTTCCTCACCCTCTGACTTTTGTTTCCCCTTCCTAGCTTATCCCAGGGGAGGTCAGTCCCAGTTAAACCCCCAAGCCAAAAGTACACGGTCCCTCCCCACCCCATCTGAACCTCAAATGCCATAATTGCAAGTCAGTTCGCAGATGAGATAACGGGGGTTCTTCGGAGGAATTGGCTGTTCCTTGAATTTCTGAGGTTAACAATCCCGCAGGATTTTTATTGACCTGGCGCAGCTCCTGTCGCCTTGGTGACACCACTGTACGGTCCCCAGTAGCTCTTGTCTCCACGGTAACCGGTGCTTTGCGACCTTCAGTTTGCAGCGGTCGCACTGCAGCCGGTGCAGTGGTTGCTGGGCGACAATGGAGGGAAGGCAGAGGCTTGAGGTGGGAACCGGGACTGATGGCCGGTAGGGGGACATTCCGGGGAAGCCCATGGAAAGCGAGGTGCCTGTCCCTCCCATGTAGGTGCGCGCTCCAAGCCGCAGACCCTGCTGCCCTTCCCCTCCCTCAGGCCCATGGCGGTGGCTATGCCCCCGGCTCGTGCGGGGAGCTCGGGCTGGGCCTGGCGGCCGGTGGCGCGGGATGCGCTTTTGGCTCGGGCCTTCCATTCATGCACTGAACTGCGGGGACGGTTCTATCTGGTGGGAGGTCTCCTAGTAGGAGGAGCGAGAGAGCCCAGCAGTGATACAGTGGTCTTCGACCCGGCTGGGGGCCAGGCCGTGCCACTGGGAGCCGGGGGCAGCCCCCAGCGCAGTCACCACGACGCGGCACCGGTGGGCGGGCGTTGGCTCTGCGTGGTGGGCGGCTGGGACGGGTCGCGCCGCCTGGCCACAGTGACTGCGCTGGACACAGAGCGCGGCGTATGGGAGGCGTGGACAGCGACCCCTGGCGATTGCCCTCCTGCCGGCCTCAGCAGTCACACCTGCACCCGCCTCTCCGATGGAGAGCTGCGGGTGGCTGGCCGAGAGGGAGGCATCCGCACTCAGCGACGGTATGGAAGCATCTACACGCTAAGGCTGGACCCCCGCGCTCGCACCTATTGGTATGGCACCCTTTACCCAAAACCTTTCACTCTCCTTTCATCTACTGGGGAAAAACAAAAGCTAAATTTCTCAGGCAATTTATCACAAGTTCACCCTAGCACCTTCGTTCCATTGGAACCTACCCTAAGACCCCCGGACTCTCTCGACAGCTGTGCTCCCCAACCCCAGGCTGAGGACCCGGTACCGGTCAGTGGCCTGTTAGGGACCAAGCTGCAGAGCTCTGCCGCCGCGCCCCGCCCCCTTCCATGGAAAAATAGTCTTCCACGAAACTTGGGTACTGGGGGCGGGGTGGCGCCACAGAGCGGGAGGTAAGCAAGCGGCGGACAAGCAAGCGAAGCTTCGTTTGTATTTACAGCCACTCCCCATTGCTCACATCACCGCCTGAGCTCTGCCCCCCGCCCCCCATCCATGGGAAAATTGTCTTCCATGAAATGGTCCCTGGTGCCAAAAAAGGTGGGGAATGCTGCTCTACAGCATTACCCTCCCTCTCATCAGACCTACAGCACTGCACGTGCCTCCTTTCTATACTTGGCAAGGGCAGTGGCACTTACATTTTCTAGAAAACTCCACTGGGGCCTGAATTTCTGCATATCCACAGCTACAAGGAAGAAGGTTGCCACACAGCCTCACGCTCAGGTCACTGTGCTGCCCTGCTCCAAACTCCTGGGCCCCACCCAGGTCATCAGCTGTTGCTCTTTGGGGGTTGCAACTCAGGTGAACCAGAAATAGCTGGGCGTTGGAGTCATGGGAAGATTAAGGTATTGTCTCCTCATATCTTGCCTAGGGTGGAAGGGGGCTAAAGTTGTGATGCCCAAATCCCTTCAGACAGTCCCTTCTTTCTCCCCAAGGAGGAACCACCTGTTACCCCTCTTTTGATGGAACAGCTTGCAAGGCTTGTGAGCAGTGGACAGGGGTCCCTGAAGGGACCCCATGGACTACGGCATCACTCGTGTTCTGTGGTGGGGCCCTTTGCTGTGCTGTTTGGTGGAGAAACTCTAAGCAGAGCTAGAGACGCCATCTGCAATGACCTCTACATCTATGATACCCGTGAGAGCCAGACTAATGGTTGAAGGGGGAAAAGGTGGGAAGATAGAACCTAAAGACTACAGAGGATGGAGTAGGGAGGAGGAAGAATAAGTTGACAAAAGTTAAAGTACACAGAATATCAAACATTTGAAGAACCCCACAAATCAAGTGAAGAGAAAAATAATGGGCAAGACTTTGGTTAAGAATTCCGTGGGTGAGACGGGGCATGGTGGCTCACGCCTGTAATCCTAGCACTCTGGGAGGCCCAGGCGGGAGGATTGCTTGAGCTTAGGAGTTTGAAACCAGCCTAAGCAAGAACGAGACCCTGTCTCTATTAAAAAAATAGAAAGAAATTAGCTGAAGAACTAAAAATATATAGAAAAAATTAGCCAGGCATGGTAGCACATGCCTGTAGTCCCAGCTACTTGGGAGGCTGAGGCAGAAGGATTTCTTGAGCCCAGGAGTTTGAGGTTGCTGTGAGCTAGGCTGATACCACGGCAGTCTAGCCCAGGCAACAGAGTGAGACTCTGTCTCAAAAAAAAAAAAAAAAAAGAATTCTGTGGGTGACAAAGTGCTTCTGCCTCAATAACCACCCTCTGCCCCTACCCAACAGGCAAGTCTCCTCCTCTGTGGTTCCACTTTCCTTGTGCAGACCGTGGGCTGAAGCGTGTGGGCCATCGTACCTGCCTTTGGAATGATCAGCTTTACCTGTTTGGGGGTTTTGGTGAGGATGGCAGGACAGCTAGTCCACAGGTGTGCATCCTGGATCTCTTTATCTAAAGAATTGTGCCAAGACACACCCACCAAGCCTCTGTTTTCTTGCGAACCCATAAAGCATTATCACCAGAGCTATCTACTTTCTTCAAATGCTTATTAAATTTCAATCTTAGAGTCAACATTTGTTTCTGAATCTTTTTTGGGGGAGGGGCGGGGGAAGGGCAGTAAATAAGTAGACGTCTTTATTTGCAAGGGAAGGGATAAAATATGGGTCCTACTCTGATATTGTGAGCATTAACCTGATGGAAACAAAAACCACAAATCATATGCTGTCTCCTGCTCCGTACAATTTCCACCCCTAATTGGGAGAAAGCTTCAGGATACAGCTAAGCATTCTGACCAAAACATTTAATTAACAAAAAAATATTACAATAGCAGAGAAAATAATAATAACAATAAAGAGAAATTAGAAGAAGTGGGAGTCAGGGTAGAAAAAATGCAAAGGCCTTGGTCTCTAGGAGACCAAAACTCCAGCTGAGCTGGCCTTAGCCCCAGCCCCTTCTGAGTTTTCCTTGGCTGCTGGCTTCTCATCTTCCCCCATGAGACGAATGTTGTGCTTTTCCCGGAATTCATTTAGTTCTTTTCCCTTTGCCTGAAGCTGCTGTGTCAATGTCTCAATGATCTTCTGTATCTAGAGGGCAAGCAACAGAGATTATATAAAAGGATTTCAGGACTGCCTTCCCCCACCTGGAATGGACTATGATTGGGGAAAGTGAAGGAGAGATGATACTTCTAACTTACCTTTAACCAACTATTAATAGAGGAGCCCAGGCACTAAAATTATTCCTTTCTCAAACACAGTGGTCTATAAACTTTATGTATATAAGAATTGCCTGGTCTGCTGATTTTTAAAATGTCATTTCATGGCATTCCCAAAGGTTCTGATCCAGTGGGTCCAGGAGAGGGTCCAGGAAGCTGCATTTTAAATAAGTCCTGCAGGTGACTCTGATACAGGTATGTATGGACTAAACTGTGAGAAGCACAGCTCTAACCCCTGACCCAATTTAGCCAGGTCACAGAGCCCACGCAAAGGGCATACAGTCAGCAACTCCTCCTGTCTAAGGAGCCAGACTTAGCATAGCATAAAGAGCATAGGCTAATAGGCTATGTATGCTGTCTTCAACATGAGTTTCTACCCAGACTTTCCTCCACCATATTCCCTAAATCTATGGCCTCCCCATTTGCCTTATCCCTTTGTTGCCTGAAGTTTATACTCAGGGATTCTTGCTCACCTGCTCCTTGTTGTTCTCCAAAGCAGGCAGCACCTCTTTGACAGTCCGTTCCACCAGCACTCCTCCGACCATGCGGTAGCACTTCCGGGTTTCATCTACCTCCTTCAGTGTATCGATCACTAGGCTGGGGTACGATAAGGCAACACCTGAGAATTCAATCCCACTCTGCTGCAACTCTCTCTTACAAAATGGCCCATGCAACCGTCCTGTTGTTTGCTTCTCCCTGACTTTCTCACCTGTGCTCATTCAACTCCATCTCTAGCTCAGCTGCTTTGGATGCCAGGCCCCGCTGTTCCTGCCTGAGACGATTGAAGCCAGCAATTACCTAAGAAGGTGAGAGGGAGAACAGATGAGAGAGGGGACAGTGGAAAATGGCAGAGGGTCAAGACAGCACATAGGATGCAGGCTCTACAAAGGGGCAATAGTGGATACCTACCTTGGAAAAAGACAACGCAAGTCTGCTATTTCTAATTTAAATCTGTCTGGAATTTCATTCACCAAACACCGAGAGCCTACTATATGCAAGATACATGCTAAGATCTGGGGGATATAACAGAATACATTTGGCCTCTGGTTTCTTGTAGTTTATAAGTTTGGTGGGAAATAGGCATTTATAATATAGGGACGGGAGTAGAGAGCTATCGAAGTATCTACAGGGGAGCCTAGACTTGCAGGTTAAAGAGGGCTGTCAGGAAGAGCTTTGTAACGAGTGACTCTTGTTTGGGTCTGCCTAGTATGCCATCCATTGGGGAACTGCTCCTCCTTAACTTGGTAGGGTTCTTGTGGGGCCATTGATCACAGGACCCTTTACCCAGGGCCATTGACCTATTCTATGCCAAAGTCTCTCTACAGGGATTTAATCTGGGGTAGAGACAAACAGAGAAGGCAGTTGGAGCTAAGACACCTAGTGGTTCTGTAGAGATGACCCTCCATTCCTACTCCTGGGTTCCCCAAAGCTGTCCTAGTTATTGAACTTTGTTCAGTCTAGTTATTTGGCCTTTCTTTTCATTTTGTTAAATTCTGTGAACTATCCACTATTCTTCAAAAATACTCCTTTTTAAAAAATCATAAGCTGGCCAGAGTCAGTTTCTATAGCCTATAAACCCTAACTGATAATGTCTTAACTGAAGCCTGAGAAACGAGGGAGGCAGGAAGGGAGGAAGGGGCTCAAAAGAAGCACAAGACATAACATATGTAAAGGCCCAAGGAAGTTATTACTAACACCTCCTAGATGCCCAGAAACTAAGCAGAGAATAAAAACTGTGAAAACCAGACTGGGTACTAATACTATGCCCACCATCACTTCCGGTATGGGGCTCTGATTAGATACGTAATGAGGAAAGTATATGGGTAGGGTGGACAGTGTTTGGAAAAAACAAAAGACATGAGGCCCAGAGACAAAAGACAAGGTTTCAAGTTCTGCCTCTCCCACTTACTGGCTCTATGGCCAGGGACAGATGTTTAACCCTACGGTTCTCAAGTATGGCGACATGTTAGGATCACCTGGGGAGCATTTTAAAAACCTGAACAGTGGAGCCTCAGAACAACTACACAATCAGTGAGGGTAAGGCCTAGGCCTCACTATTTTTAAAAAGATCTCCCACATAATTCTAACAGGAAGCCAGAACTGGGAATGACTGGGTTAGTAGCCTCTTTGAGGCTTAGTTTTCTTACCTACAAAATGCAGATAATAATGGTATCTACTTCATAAGGTTGTTGTATCATGTGAACCGATAAATGTGAAACAGCTTTGTAAACAGTCAAGTACATTAATTACTATCATGGCCTTCTCTCCAAATCCAGAAGTGCCCCCTTGCACCCTCCTGGTCATGTGAAAGCAGTGGACCCAGTCCATTCAAACCACTGCTAAATCTCTCACTCCCATTTACATGAACTGTAGTCACACTGCCAGAAACCTTGCCCTGGTATTGATGATTAACCACTTCATCTCTACTAGGGCCCCTTATCTCTAGCGATTTCTCTGCAAGGTTCATATTCAGCTAATATAATCCGAATGGCTGAACTGCACCACCCCTACAGATCCCTTCTACTGCCAATAAACCAAGGAATAATATTTGACCAATAACTTGTCATTCCAGCAGTTTGTTCCCTTCTCCCATCCATCACCTCTTCATCTCAATCTACTTCATCCATTCATTTCAACAAATGCCTTGGAAATGTAACTCATTTACAGGCTGTTTTTCCTTCTCCTTTGTTGCCTACGCCAAAACCATCCCATTTATAGTTAGGTTTTTCTCCACTGTGAATGTTCCAGATCAAAATAATTTCATCTAAGAAAACTACATGACTAAACCAGATTCTAGGTGTTCCCCTAGAACCCAAATGATCCACTATTCTGGATTTTTTTTTGAGACAGAGTCTTGCTCTGTTGCCCTGGCTAGAGTGCCGTGGTGTCAGCCTAGCTCACCCACGCAACCTCAAACTCCTGGGCTCAAGCAAACCAACTGCCTCAGCCTCCCGAGTAGCTGGGACTACAGGCATGCACCACCATGCCCGGCTAATTTTTTCTATTTTTAGTTGTCTGGCTAATTTCTTTCTATTTTTAGTAGAGACGGGGTCTCGCTCTTGCTCAGGCTGGTCTCAAACTCC